TGCACATCATTTTAGATCCTGATCCTGACATTTACTCAGTTCAGTTCCAGCAAGATATGAAATCGGTAACGTACTGCACGTGCACATCAATAACAGTGATTTACAGCAGGCTATAAAGTTATCCATTTCCTCAATTCCTGGAAGTCACTTTACTGCAGATTAGAAAACAGCATGGATACATACAGACACATGTATACCTATACGTATACGTATACCTGTACATACACATACAGATAAGCTTAAAAGGCAGAGACAAGGTGCTTGCTTTTGTGAGAGTGACAAGGATAGGTATTTAGATCAGTGTTTCTCAGCCTTGGCAACTTTAAGATGTGTGGACTTCAACTCCCAGAATTCCCCAGTTGAAGTCCACACATCTTAAATTTGTCAAGGTTGAGAAATACTGCATTAGATATACACTTTTTTTCTCTTTCCCTTTTTAAAGGGAATGACAGCAACTGACTATAGGGCTGTGTTTAAAACACAGCCTTCTCATTGCCTAGAAACATAGGGAGTTAATTGGTATTTCTTATGGGCACAGCAAAGCATTTTCACACATTTCAAAGCAACACTAGAATGTATAATTGGAGAGATTATTGACTAATGTAACTTTGCAAATAATATTACTAGATCTTGTGGATGATTTGCTGTTATAAATATCTCACCCAAGCATTTTATAACAGAGATTATTTTCTGTGATCTCTGTTTTGGGAAGACTTGGACCAGTGAATCGTGACAGGTATATTTATAAACACTTGCCTCATGTAGTGGTTTTTAATCTTTCTACATCAGGAATCACTTTCTGCAACAGCTCATCTGGTGAAGAGCTCTGTATGTCTTCTATGAACCTTAATGTGTTGTATAAAATAAGCCCAAGACTGTCTAAACTCAGCATTTCTCATTATTACAAGTGATGCTGCAACACTCTACTATGATATACAGTAGAGATTATCACAGGGAGTTGGATGGAGTAAATTCAGCTATTGGTATCCTTCTGAATTGGCTTCATGGGTTGGGGGGGCACTGTCTTATGGTGGTTCTCCTCCTTTCTCCATGGCCGGTTTCAGTTGGTGTTGGTTAGTGGGGAGAGATCAGCCCCAGGACCCTCCTTTGTGGGGTCCCACAGAGTTCTATTCTCTCTCCCCTCCTTTTCAACATCTACATGAAACCACTGGCTGAGGTCAACGACCAGTCTGGGGCTTGATATCATCAGTACACTGATGATAAACAATTGTATCTTTTGACTTTGAACCATCCTATCTGCTGAAGAGTTTTAGGAAAGTTAAATACTTTCAACTATCATACAAACCCAGCTGGCATAATAAAGGTATTGCTTTTGAGCTTTTGGACTTTTATTATTATGTATGCCATCTTAGTGATACATTATTCTCATTCAACAGATTTCAGAAGGGTTGCTCTCCTTATTTTTACCCAGCAGTGTTGAGGTAGGGATGTGTGTGTAAAAAAAATCAAGATGGAAATGATGACCCCACAATCAAAGCCTTGATCCTTTTGTGGGTGTGACAATGTTACATACAAAAGGGTGGGGCTTCAGTCACACTGCTGCACCCATCATCTTGACTTTTTTGACTTCCTGTGTAGTTAACAAGCTATTTCCTAAGTGATTAAGAAAGAAAGTAGGAGAAGCCATTGTCCTTTTTGAGGGCGCCGAACTGCAGTGTGGGCTACAGTGACATTCCCTCATCTCCCAGAACTCTAAACCTGCTGGAGACTGCTCTTTTGCAGTCTTCTAGCAAGCAGCAGCTGTCTGGAGCACTTGTGGGCATTCCCAGTCATCTCCTTGTCTGGAGAGGAATTGTGAAGAGTTGGTCCATTCACTGGCTCTTCATTCTGCTGCAGTCTCAGCAGAGCTGTCTTCAGTTTGCCATTTCTTCCCCAGAAGTCTCCAAGAATCTATACATTAACAATTTCTACAGTATAGCCCAGGGTTTCTCAACTGGGGTTCCATAGAATCCTAGGATTCCTCAAGAGGTCACTAGGGGTTCCCTGGGAGATCACAGTGATAAGCAGAGACCAAACAAAAACCCTCCAACCTCCAACACTGGGTTGGCCTGCCGGACCATGCGCAAACCTCAGGCGGGGACAGGGATTGTGCCTGCGTGTGCAAGTGGGGAAGGTTTGGAGAGGTTCAGGAGAGGTTGAGAAGTCCAAATATTAAGGGGAGGGGTGTTGGAGGTTGCAAGGCATCAGCCCCCCCTTTAGGGGTCCTAGTGGAAAGGAAGGGTGAGAAAGGGGAAGCTGGATATAGGGAACAAGGTGCTTGTGGTGCAGGGAGAGGGGAGGAGGCGAGCTGACTGAACTCAGTGTGCTGGTGTCATCTGCATCCCTGCAATGCATTTTGCAGTTAACATTCATGACAGTTTGATATATCACTCAAAAACTGTACACATCCTTAAAAGTAGCCCAAAATAGCCCAAAAAAACCACAACCCACAAACGCCAAAAATTTCACACAGCTGATCTCCAAAACCCAAGTTCGGCCCAGAATTGAGTATTTGTGCAGCAAAAAACAAGCGCAGGTTTCACATTAAAAAGGTAAGTTTCATTCTTTATTTTTAATTTAAAAACACTGTTAATGCCTATATGTAGGCCTGCACATGAAATAAATGTAACAATTTTGTAACTTCTGGCCTATATTTGAGCCTGAATGTGCAAGCGTTGCCTGAGGCCTGAAAAATATTTCAAGGGTTCCTCCAGGGTCAAAAGGTTGAGAAAGGCTGGTATAGTCTCTGACTGAAAACTGAAGTTTCACTGATAAACGAAACAGAGTAATAAGAGAACTGTGTTTGGAATATATGCTCATATCGTTTGTTGTGAACACAAATGGATGTATGAGCTGGCACCTTCCTGCAGCCAGACAGAGCTTCCCAATGGCCATTGCTGGCTAGTTTTGGATTTGTTTTATGGTTGCCATGTCATCTTCTCGTAACTTCTATGCTCTGCTAATCAGAGGAATAGGCCTTCTACTTAGTTGGAGCAGAGATGCTGGCAGATGAGACAAGAATCCTAAAATGTTTGCAAAGCCAAAGATGGCAGTTGGCAAGCTGTGCAGTCCTGCCCAGAGCCAGAGAAAGGAGCTACATGTGCAATCAACTGCATTCATGATATACCCATAAACCATAGTTAGTGTATCATCTGAATCTGTCCAATGTGTAATTAATGGCCCATCCACACTGCTGCTTCCACTCTCCAGTTCTTCAAAAACAGTTTGAAGCTGACCTGTAGCTTGGCACTGTAAGAACATAACAGAGTGTTTCTCCAACAGACCAAGAGTGTGCCAAAAAGGGACATTCAGTCAGTGCTTCACACTCCATTCATGTTTTTTTGTTTTGTGTTATGTGCATGTATCTGTTTTCAAAAAATCACAGCAGCGGAAATGCAAGAGGTGGGGTTTTTGAAGCCCTCAGGACATTATCCTCTCATTACGTTTTAGCCTTGTAAAATGTATTATTATTTTTTATTATTTGATTATATAATTTTTAGACCACCCATCACTGTAGTCCCTGGGTAATCTACAATAACAATTTAAAACATATAAATCACGTAACAATTGTAACAATCTCATGATAAGATAGAATTAAATTATCGTTTTCCCAAAGAATTAATATTTGTTTAAATATTGGTCCACAGGTCTTAAAGTTGCCAAGGTTGAGAAACACTGGTCTATAGTATTCACTTTCCAATACAATCCACGATGGCCTTTAAAAAGGCTATGTAAACACATCGCTTTCAATTGGCCTATAGGCTTCAATCATCTTCACCAAAGGCCTGGGTGACGAGTGGGTCTTCAAGGCTTTGAAAGAACAGCAGGGTGTTGGCCACTGGGGGGAACTTCATTCCACAGGACAGGCACTGTTACAGAGAAAGTGCGCTGGATGGCAATTTTTAATGGAAGGAATCCTGTGTGTACCAATCCTGACAGAACAAATTGTCTGGGCAGATTCTATGGGACATAGGCGGTCCCTCAAGTAACCAGGTCTGATGCCATGTAGGGCCTTGAATTGCACCTGGGAACAAAATAGCAACCAATGCAGCTTGCGAAGCAAAGATGTTACATGGGCATGCCGAGGCATGCTCATCACTGCTCATGCTACTACATTCTAGACCAGTTGAAGCTTCTAGATGGTCTTCTAGGGCAGTCCAGTGTAGAGCACATTGCAGTAGTCAAGCTGTGAAGTGACCAGAATGTGAGTGGCTGGCTGAAGGGCCTCCTGATCTAGGAAAAGGCACACCTGGTGCACCAGATGAAGCTGTGCAAAAGCCTTTCTAGCCACAGCTGCTATCTGCTTATCAAGCAGGAGCTGTGATTACTGGAAGACCCCCAGATTGTGTACCACATTTGAATGGGGAAGTGCTACTCCATCCAAAGTCACAGATGGAACATCCCCAGATCTGGCTGGTCCAAACACCCACAGCCACTTGGTCATGGTAAGATTGAATCAGAGACAGCTCTTCCCCTTCCAAACCCATACAGCTTCCAGGCAGTGTATTTACATAATATTCGTCTTAATTTTACAGCAGAAAAGTATACAAAAACATGTATACATTAGACATTTATAGATAGCATTTCAGTTTAGAAAAGAGCAATTATTTTTAAGGTGTTTTAGAAATTTATGTTTCTAAATTTATGTTTTAGAAATTTAAAAACATTTCTAAATCCTTTTCTTGAAACAAACTCTCAGTAACATTTAGCACCACAAATCATCTCTAAATGAAAGATAAATCTACTTAATCATTAGGAAGAGTGCTCCAAATCAAAGGAATAGATCAACATCAAAATGGCAGATGCTATTGGGTAATTGAAACCACATCCCTTTTTACATGTGATACACACAATGCATGTTAAAAAGGAGCAGGGCTTCCAGCACCCAGTCACACCTGCCCTTTTGATGTGGTTGACCACCACTGTGAACAACCCATTTTACATCTATCTTGTTTTTGATTCTGACTATTGTTACAATACATACATGTAAGAGAGCATACCTCATGGTGACCAGCTATTGTAGCAATATGAAGAGCTGTAAGTGCTCCATAACCAACTTGTTGGATATCAGCTCCACTGTGCAGTAAAGCTGTTAAAAGTTCTGCATTGTCCTGAAATGTGGAAAAGCACATCACTATTTAGAAAAATATCATGGGAAGTTTGGTGGTAGAGCACATGTTTTGTGTGCAGAAATTTCCCAGCATCTCAAGTAGGTCTGAAAAACGGACTTCTAAGAAAACTTGAACTACAGCTACTGAATATAGATTAGTGTTATCCAAACAAGTGTGTTGGCACTACAATTTTCTACACTGGCTGAAGATTATGAGAGTTGTAGTCACAAACATCCAGATTGGCAAAGGCTGGTAAAGATTATGCTGAGCTAGATGGATCAATAATGTGACATTGTCTAAGGTCCCATATTTCTGTTATTGCACTAATGGATATTCCCCTTGATTAAAGTTTGTCATGGAATGATCTACTGAAAAAAATATCCTCCAGGAAACACGAGAATCAAGCTCTTTTGAAATCAGATATAATTAATGTAATACTGTTTACCTTGTAAGCTGCTAAATGCAGAGCTGTAAATCCATTTCTTGTCAGTCTAGAGGGACGCAGTCCTTTCAACATAAGGGTTCGAATATGTGTTTTATGTCCTGTGAAATAAATATTGGCCACAGAAGTAACTTAAAGATATCAGATACAAGCAAATGAAAATCTGTATCCTTCAGATTAGTAATATACTTGAATTTAGAAGTCCGATGAAATCACTTGGACATTTCCCTTATTATACTGTGTTGGAAAATAAACTATATAAATTAAATAATACTTGGATTGAACTCCATTGTGCCTTTTGACTAATAAAATGGTATATTCCAATACAAGAGATTGTCCATATCCCCCTGCAGCTCTTATAAACCATCCGTCCTGATTTGCTATGGAGGATTAAGTGACTCAGAATAGATTCTGAATGTGCATATACATATACATCTTGTACGGAAGACAGAAGAAGATGAAAATGCCCATAACATTTAGAGGACATTCTGTCATACATCATTGGATGAGTTCTTCAATACTGATACTATAAAACCTGTAACTTATTATTTCTTTATTAAAATTAATACAGTAATGGCCCATTTTTACATTAGCAGAAAACTATGGTTGCTTCTTCCCCATGGCTCTTTTTTAATTTTGTTCCTGTTCTAATTTATAACTGTTTAGTTTAAGGCATATGGCCCAAAAGACGACTTTTCTAAATATCATCATCATCATCATCATCATCATCATCATCATCATCACCATCATCATCATCTGTAATTCTTTCCATTTTTTTGAAGCAATCTTGCTATTGTTACCTGATCACTATGTATGATTCAACTGGATTAGTGCTGAAAATTAAAAAATAATAATAGCTTTTCTGAGATTTATTAAAAACAGGTAAAATAATTAAGCATGGCAGCAAGGATTATACTGGCTGAAATACTTACCATTGCAAATACAACACAGATGCAAAAGAGACAGCCCGTTTTCTGTACGGTAATTTAAATTCACTTTGCTGAAGGCTTCATCAGAGCTGAAAGAAAAAGGTTTCATAGATAACTCTAACTGTCATCTTTTGGTGTGTTTTCATTTATTGGGAAAATTCTAAAAAAGGAGAAAATATGTCATGCTTTCAGAAAGATATGGGAGACAACATTTTCAAAAACCAAAGGTCTTTTAACTGCTATTCACTACTTTCATTTCAGAAAGTACATGGGACAAGGGTGAGATTGCAGGCCTTCTTTGTAGTACCCCTATTTGTGAAATATTGTTTCACAATTATTGCAGAAATTATATGCAGCCCTCACTTTACTGCAGTTCCATAAACAAA